AAAGAAGTGAGTTTTCAGGTTGAAAGTGTTATAGGTAAGTGGATAGCGCCCTAACTAATTTTTTTCAATCAAAATTTTCTTTACTAAAATATTACGTTTTTCTGAAAATCATTTTAATAACATTAATGCGATTATTGGATATTTGTTGATTAACATTACTTTATTTCGAGAAGTTAGCTTTACTAAATTTGAAATGTTATTTGATCGATTAAATCAAGTTATTGAACTTTGATTATGAGATTTTTATGTTGTCAAATATTGGATTGATATAGAGAATGATTCATGTGAGTTCGACGTTGAAAATTTTTTTTATTCAATAAATACAAGCATGAGCATTGGATATGAAATTTTATTTTGACACGTTTTAATGCTTAAAAGTATTCATGCGAGTTTGATTTTGAGAATGAGAACTGTATCTTAAAAGTGATGATTTTCTTACATGTTTGATAATGGTTTTAAAAAGGGACTTTATACAGAACACTGGTTGCTAACGGCAGTTCCGTTAGCCCTTGGTGCGCCATGGTACACCTAGCTAGCAAGGTGTTTATAGGAGGTGCTAGCCCCGTGCGATGGCCAACGCACGTGGAACGAAGGGATGGTTATTCATGAGCATCATACTCACGTTTGTTTCGTGGCTTCAAGCCACGTTTGATTAGCATTGCTCTCGTGGACTGTGTCTTCACGTTTATTTCGTGGCTCAGGCCGCATTTGATTACTTACCCTCGTGGACTATGTGTCCACATTTTTTTTGTGGCATAAGCCGCGTTTGGTTAGTTACCCTCATGGATTATGTGTCCACGTTTGTTAATTGTTCTGATAAGTCCCTATAATTATGAATCTAATTACTTGATGATTTTATATTCCATTGATTTTTATTCAATAATTTATTTATAAATATTTATTTCATTCATGTGCTTCCTTAAAATCAAGTGATATTATCGTTTGCTACCATAGTTCAATGATTTAAGATTTTGTTTTGAATTTTTATAGAGACATCTTATTATGAAGCTTATTGAATTTTTATGAAAATTTTTGTTTCATTAACTTACATATCTATTTTGAATTTTTCATTTTATTTATATTCAATTATTTATTGTTGGGACGTTATTCACTGGAAAATATATTTTTGGCCTCAGGTAGTATAAATTGAACTTGTATATCAAGGTGTTACTTAAGGCATTCTATCGCTAAAGTGGAGTGGAAGAATTATTTTAAACAAGTTTTACTTGATGAAAATTTGAACCCTGTATTCATTTCAGGAAATGGTCCTAACTGCTCCATGTATAATGTAGGTAGGATTCTCATCTTTCTTAAAAGATTGTATATATGTTAGTAGGGAGCGAGATCTTTTACTTTAATTATTATTGTTCTTTGTCATTCATTTCAGGAAGTCTTATTTACATGAAAGTTCTATTAAAAATTTTATAAATAATAATAATAACAAAAATTATATGCCTGTAGTTTGGCATGGATGAAAGTATATTTTTTCAAGGCTTAAGGGATATGGGTTTTACACACATATTCCGTGCCGGTCATGCCTTAAATTTTTGGGGCGTGACAATAACTATACCAATTACATCTACATCGTTGAAGCCATAAAATCTCCTCTTGAACTAAAATACTCTCCAATCTCCTCCAAACTTCAGATCTTTCATTTTCCAGCGTGATCAAGTTCGAATTTCCACTTAGCCTTCTATTTATCCCTTCTAGTTGAAGCAACAAGTCTGATTTCTGCTTATGTATATTGCCAAAGACCTTTTTATTCCAGTTTGAGACATTGCTAACAAACCTCTCCATGTTCTCATTCCAATCATTTGAAGGACACCATGACCCTTCCACCAAAGCATTAAAACTCTTTTGAATAACCCAAGGGGCAAAAAACCGAATCCCTTCTTCCTACTCTTACTTTTGACAACATTCTAAATCTTCAAAAAAAGAGGACAGTGGTCTGATTTGAGCTTTGGTAAATGAAAAACATTGGCTTCAATGAAATTTTCAAATGAAATACTTCATTCAATAAAAAATTGTAAGGTTTTTTTTATATTTCAAGATATAATTAGTGTATTTAAAAAAAAAACACCATTAATAGATAAATCATTATATATCTTTTTAAGTGAAACATTCTATTAAATAAGGGTAAGTGTAAAAATATGATGTTAGTTTACAAACAATCAACTACTATATTGAAAGATAATATTTAATTAAAAATATCTTATATTTTTTAACAGAACAAATATATTCTATATTTTTTTGAACTATTGATACTTAATACACATATTTCGATATAAAAAGACATATATTTGACATAATATAAGGGTGTGTGTGTGTGTGTAAGTTTTTAATTGAATAAATAATAATATATAATTTGTATATTATGTGTATATATACTAATAATATAATATATTTATAACTTTTAGAGAAAAATGACAATATTAAAGGGTTGCCAATATTACCGTTTAGTGAAATAAAACTTGGTAATGGAAAACTGCCTTTAATCCCATATTATTAACAATATTTATATATATAAGAATATCAAATGATAGAATATTTACAAATTAATAAGCACCAAAAACACTATTATGTTATGCATCCAATAACAAATTAAATTTTCAAAATCCATTTTTATTGAAATATAATAAATTTGACAATTCAAAAGCTTAATGATATAAATTTGGATTTTCACCCATGTCATGAATTATTACATTTTAGAAAATGGATAGTGTGAAGGATATTTTGTAATTACGTTTAAAAATTTTGATAAAATAGACAGATATCATAATCGTCACAAATCCATTACCAATTATAATATTTTAATGACGAAAACCAATCTTTCACTAAATTTGAATATTTGATAAAGTAGTGACAGATTTTCACATCTGTCACTATTCCGTCACTAATTGTTATATTTAGTGATGATTTTCAATTCGTCACTATATATCTATCACAAATTTAATTTTTTCTAGTAGTGTTTGAACTATAATTCAATATAATTTAATTTCAAAAAAAAATTAATCATATAAACGTGAATATTTAAATTTGTCATGCTTTACAAACCCAACTTCCTATCAAGATTCAATTTTAGTTCAAAGAAAACCAATTCTAAGCTCATCTCTTTCTCCTTACAGTAACCAAGATTCTTAAGTGGAATTACCTACCAGACATGTGCTCTGAAAACTTAAATTCTCAATTCGCTTGGACTCCAACCACTATCCTATGCAATACACTAGGAATCAAAGATGTTCTTGTAATATGTTTATAAATATAATATCTTAGAAGAACATCTTTAATTAAAGTGCAAGAAGAAGAAGATAGTTATAAATATCAATTTCTTGCCCAACATAACAGCACATAGGCGACGAGGAAGGGAGAAGGGACAGGATGATTTTGTCGATGCAATGCAGAAGAAGAAGATTTTGGTGTTGGGAAGAAAAGGGAACCAAAACTCAAAGTTCACACACCCAACTGACTTTACAAATAATCCCAAGTGTAATTAATAGATTACTCAACTAAATGTTCACATTTTTTAATTGCAAGTAAAAACCATAATCTCTTATTGGGATTTCAATAATTCAGGGTTTATAATTGTTGTTTATGTGCTTGTGAAGTCCCTAATTTTCATTTTCCCAAAAAAATTAAATTAAATTAAATTAAAATATTCCACTTAGATAGAGAGAAAATCCGAACCTTCCAACGATGAACCTGAAACTATCTAGCAAACAAGATTACCACTAAGCCATCACCGATTACCTCTATTAAATCCACTCCAAAATTGATAAAAATATTCTTAAAATATCATATCATAAATTTTTAATTTACTTAAATTTCCCAGGTTATTACAATTTTATTAGAAATAGGAATGCTTTATTTCAAAGGAAAAATAACTTAGTTTATTGATCACTTACAAGTATTACAACAGGAGATATAAAGTTACATTTGTGACACTCTTATACATGTATGTAGGCTCAAGTACATGAAATTTATATAACCCATATATATATATATATATTACATAAATCACATGCATGAATTACATAATTTTATGAGCATCATGAAACTAAAAGCATGGACATAACCGATGACAGTTTTGCATCTGAAAAGTGGCTACTGACCGCATCACATCACCATTGTCATCATCGATATCAATAGCAAATGTTTCATTGACTTGGTTGACTTGATCAACTTGGTTGACTTTGTCTCGCCAATCAAAATATCACACTATCCATAAAATGAAACAAGAATAATTCTAATGAAGAAGTCTCCAATTCGACGAAAAAAGGGAAGACGAGTTCCAAGTGGAAACCTTCCTAAAATACGAGCAAATAAGATGAAGAAAATGGAGCCGAATCCAATAACACTCATAACATTTGCAAGCAAAGTGTTATTGCTCACAACCAAACGTATTGCAGCTAAAAATGCTGCAGGCATGGCTATGAGAGCCACATAAACAAAAATCTTAGCAAGTTCATCATGTGCTCCTTCTGCAAAACGAAGATCGCCCAGCGGGACCCACAGTAAAATAATAGAACCAATTGTGGAGCTGTACATTGCAATAGTGTTGAAAGCCATGAATGTATTGAATAGTTTTTTATCAGCCAAAAGTGACATGCCTCTCTCTTTAGCAATTGGATCATCTGATGAGTAAAACCCACCTGGTACTGTGAAGCCAGCCGTAAATGTCACTGTGGCAATCAATATAGCCACAAGCATGAGTGTGTTGGCTGCATCCTTCACGTTCCATTCTTTATTGGTGGATGTTGTGCGTGTTATGCCCAGCATATTTGCTTTCAAGGGAACACCAGCACTTTCCAAAATTGCATCTGCTAGAAACTGCAAGGTAATCCAATCAAACATGCTTAATTACATGCTTATGTATATATGTATATTCTTTTCTTAATTAAGAAAAGAAATACCTAGCTAGAATCAAAACCTTTTTAAAAGCTAAGAAGACAGAGCTTAGATGCTTAAGACAATCATACCTCTTGATGTGTCATTGGAATTTTTCACTGCATCCGAACAACATCTCGAGCTGTTAAACCTTCGTCATTGACAAGGTTCACATTGATCATTTTGTGTCGTGACAGAAGGAGTAGAGTCCAAAGACGCAGTTTTCTTGAAGCCAGATGTAATGGGGTATCTCCATTTACATCTCTCTCATTGAGAGTGTCATGATGAATCATGGGGATCTTCAGGAGATATTTTAACATATCAGTTTGTCCCCTCATTGCGGACATGTGAAGAATGTTCTGACCTTTACTATTCAAGAAAAGTCCAACATTCGACCACTCTGTTTCAAGCAACTTGTTGACCACTTGAACCTGGCCCTTTTTGCAAGCGAGGTGAATTGGAAGATTGCCATCTGAGTTTCGTTGAAAAGCATTCGTGGGAGATTTTTCTAACATTGTACAAACTCCTCCCAGGTAACCCGCATATGCTGCATAATGAAGGGGAGTGTTGTTCTTCTCATCTCTCTGATACCTTAGCTCTGGGCTTATATCTACTGTCTGTCTCAATAGAGCTTCACGTAGAAACACACACACATACACGTATATATTAGGGGAGAGTACTGAAACAAACACAAAAGCAGCATGAAAATTAATTAATTCATCAGGAGTATACTGACCAGTATTTCGTTCTGATATTGCAGCAAGAAGTGGGGAGTCTCCATTTGAAATCGCCTGGCCTGAGGGAATTAGAATTCTTGTCAAGAGCAGATGAAGAATATCTTTAGCCCCAGTCAGGACTGCTAAATACATTGGTGATTTACAGCCATACTTGTAGTTCCAAGTCCAATAGGCAGCCAGATCACTATCCTCATGTGCAAGTAAAAGGATTTCAACCACAGAATAATGGTTGAACAAAACTGCTTCGTGCAAAGCCGTCCTCCGATATTTGTTGGGTAACATTATAAACTCGTCCATAGCTATCGTGTAAATTTCAACCATTTGTCCTAGAATGTACTTAATCACGGGAAGATTCTTAGCTCTTGCAGCAACATGAAGCAGAGTATCACCTTTCAGATTTGTCTTGTGCAAAAGCTCACGATTCCGAGAAGCAATAAGCCACACAACTTCTTCATTCCCACATTCGGCTGCAACATGAAGCAACGAATCACCAGTGGGAGTGGCTTGATTGAAAATGGTGGCTTCATTAACCCCATTTCGTAAACATACTTGCTCCAATACAAAATCAAATTTTTGTGCGTCTACATTTTTATCACAGACACCCTGATACAACTCATAATAAATAATATTTACCCGTTGCTTTACTGATGAACAGACCTGATGCTTTACTAATGAACAGAACTGATGCCTTTCCATCTTTTGAAGCATCAATTCCTTGTCACTTATCACGCCCCTCGCCGCGTCATCACGCAAATCTATGGTTACTTCAACAAACGAATCGCTCATGGAAACTAGCGCCTCAGTCAAGTGCAAACCAAAATGGTAAATCTTGTAATTGATTACCCAAGTTCAACTTCGTCATTTCAGCATCAGGGGAACCTTTAATTTATATGCAATAAAAAATGCAAGTCATTGCAATTATACAGAATCGTGACACTTGATGGTTTGTTAGATGTTGCGCCGACAGATTTGATTATTGTGTGAGTAAATATGAATTTTTTAGTCATCGTGCGAAATCACCTTTTTAATAGCAGTCCATGAAAAATAAGCACGTCATAATGGTATCAATTTGACTATACAAACTTCAACCCTCTTTTCCTCTCTCTCACTTTGTTGGGTAAAAATGCAATTTTTCCTTTAAATTACGTGACCGGATCATGTAGAACTCTAATTTTTAATGCAAGTTTGCTCCCCAATATTTTAAAACATCACAATATACCTCCTCCCATTAGTTACAAAAATATTGACCGACAAGTAATATAAGAAAAAATGTGCCCCAGCAACACTAAACTAACGCCTCCTAATGCCAAAAAGTTTCATCTGTTCATAGACTAAATTATCCGACCATTAATGAAAAGTTGAGATTTTGGACACTAGAAGCCAATAAATAATGCAAGAACATTAGCACCATAATATTAAAAATGAAGATACATCATATTGTGTTAAGAAATTATTGAATTGACTACAGCTGGATGTGACAACCATAAAATTTTAAGTTAAAATAATAATAAATGAATAAATGAAATAATAATAATAAATTATATATATATATATATATAAAATAATTTGTTTTGAGTTATTAATGTTTGGAATAACTATAATAAGGAGGTGTGTTGGTGCAGTGAAAGTGGACAAATAATGTAATAGCTAAAGAGTTTAAATTAAGATTAAAATTTATGATTGAATACTTGATTATATTTTAATAATTCTTAGAACAACTATAGCAAGAGAAATGTTGGTCTTGTGAAAATTATGGTAAAAAAATAAAAATAAACATAATCCATTAGCTCTTTGATTTTTTTTTTTTTAAATACATACACATGAGAAGAGTTTTGTCTTGCGTTAGTTTTAGGAAATTGCCATTTTTGCTAAAAAAAATAAAAAATTTAAAAAAAATAAAATTAAAATTAAAACAAGTTACATATATATATATATATATATATATGAACATACACGTGGAGAGGAGAGATCGGTTTTGTGTTTCCTTCCTATATGAACATACACGTGGGGAGAGGAGATCAGATTTTTCTTTCCTTCCTCTTCTCATACTGAGACACGGGAGATTCGAGAGAGCTCATCCACTGCCTTTCTTCTTCCTCATTTCTGTTCAGCTGTCATCAGCCACCGGGAGAGTCATCGTCCGTTCACTATTGTGGCGATTCAGGGAGCTTGCGGTCTTCCTTCTTCATTTTCATGGCCGTCGACTTCTCCCCTGAGCAGCTCATCCATTAACTACTCTTTCTTCCATCCGTCGTCGGCGTCTGTAGGTGTGTGCTGGAGGCTTCATCTTCCTCCTCCATTCAAGCAGCTACAAGTGTGAGCTGTAGCATCTTTCTCCTGCGTTGTGTTGCTGTGATTCACTGCTGCAGGAGCTTTGCCGGACAGCAGCTCCTTCCTCCCTGTTCACGCATCGATTTCCCATTTCTCTGCGTCTCTCGTCTCTTTTCTTCTCAGTGTTCGCTGTCACCTCTGTCACTCATCTAATCGCCGGCCACCATGGAGTGTTCGTCGTGGAGGCATGCGTGTCGTCTCTTTGTTCGCTGTTCTATCTTCTCTGTTCGCTGAACCATTTTTCTTCGCCCTTGTCTGTGCTGATAGTGGCTGCGGGAAGCTACGCTGCCGAGAAGGTAGAGCATGAAGGAGTTTTTAGTTGCTGCTGTTGGAGGTTTTTATCAGCCTTTTCTCTTTCTTTCTTCATTGCGGCAGTAACCAGAATTCTTCCCTCCTCTGTTGAGCGTAAGTTTGGATTCTCCTTCCTTTTTCTGTCTTTAATTGGCATTATGAGGTATAGAAGCTTCAAATCATTTTCTTTCTTCTTGTTCCGTGTATGTGTGTATATGTGTTATGATTGAGATGGTAATTCTTATTCTTGTCTGCTACTGTAAATGTGGAGTAGGGGTGATAATTTAAGTTGAAATTCTTAGTATTAAGGAGATGATAATAATTGATAGGTATGAGTTTATGGAAGAAGATTTGTTGAGGTCTATATGTGGCTTGTGGTTTGGATTGAGAACTAAGGAAAGCATTATATTAATTTTTCTCTCTTGCATATAAAGTGTTTGAGTGAAAAATTTTATACGAATGAGTGCTTAAATTTGATCAAGTTAATTCTAGTTAAATTTTAATGTTTAGGTCACTTGGTTTTTCGTTAATATATGAACTTGTTAATGTGTTTTTTTGTGAGGATATTTATGTGGTTGGGATTGTAAATTTTTCTTTGTTATTTGTTCTGTTCTTACGTATACTTGAGTTACAAGAGGATTTGAATACAATGAAGGTGGTTTGGCTTGAGTTTTCCTCCCTTGAAATTAAGTTGAATCTTATTGCAGAATTTGATTGACAAAATAAGTTAATTATTTTTTTTATAAAGCTTGGGAAAATCAAGAAGTTGGCTTAATGGTGTATAGGTTAGAATTTGAACATATTAGGTGAAATTTTGAAATTTTTAGATTAGTTTGGTCTTGAGACACAAGGGAACCTGGAAAAACTTTATTATACTTGATAACATTTATGATATTGAATTAAAGCGGCCATAAGATTAGTTGTGGTTGTGTAAGGTAAGAAATTGTACTGTTTTGAATAAAGTGTATTTTGTGAAGAATTATTGAAGAGCCTTAAGGATAAATTATTTATTGGTTATTAAGGGAAGGAGGCATGGTAAAGATGAATACATCATTATAGGTGGGAGAAATGAACAAAAAGAAAATAAATTTTAAATGCAAATGGTGGGTTAAAGACAAATAAAGATTGAGAACTTTAAAAAATGTTTTAGATTACATATTGGGTTCACGAATGTCAGTTAGAAATATATGAATTGAATTTTTATTAAAGAAAGATGCTTATTCTTTTGGTCTAAGTAATAGCGTAGCTAAAGGGAAATGGAGAGATATTTAAAAAGCACATGTTATTAATTTGAGAGTTATCAGGTAAGTGGATAGTGTCCCAATTAATTTTTTTTAATCAAAATTTCTTTTATTGTAATATTACGTTTTCTAAAAATCATTTTAATAGCATTAATGCAATTATTGAATATTTATTGATTAATATTACTTTATTTTGAGAAATTAGCTTTACCAAATTTGAAATGTTATTTGATCAATTAAATTAAGTTTGGACTTTGATTATGAGATTTTTTATTTTATCAAATATTGGATTGATATAGAGAATGATTCATGTGAGTTCGACTTTGAAAATTTATTTTTTTTATAATTCGATAAATGCACACATAAGCATTAGATATGAAATTTTATTCTGGCAAGTTTTAATGTTTAAAAGTATTTATGCGAGTTTAATTTTGAGAATGAGAACTGTATCTTGAAAGTGATGATTTTCTCACATGTTTGAAAATGATTTTTTTTTAAAAAAGAGGGACTTTATACAAAATACTGGTTGCTAATGGCAATTCCGTTAGCCCTTGGCGTGCCATAGTACACCTAGCTAGTAGGGTGTTTGTAGGAGGTGCTAGCCCCGTGCGATGACCAACGCACGTGGAACGGAGGGATGGTTATTCGTGGGCATCGTACTCATGTTTGTTTCGTGGGCTTTGTACCCGCGTTTGATTCCGTGGCCTGAGCCACGTTTGGTTAGTATTACCCTCATGGACTGTGTATTCACGTTTGTTTCGTGGCTTCAGCTGTGTTTGTGTGAAATATTTCTAGAAGACCCTGATAGATGCTTGGTCACTCTTGTAGCATTTACAACTTGGGGTCAACCATCCACTACAAGAAAATTCAAGATGATTAAGTGAGAGTAGTGGTTACAGATCTAAAAGTGTTAGATGCATTAGTCACATTCCCTACTGATAAGGTGAAGCCTATAATTAAAACTATTGGTAATTTTATCCCATAGCCTAAGAGACTTTTGAATATGATTCAAGCTGTGGTATGAAATTTCATGCATTTTTATTATATACGGCTTTCCTAACATGTGTTTTTTACCAATTTTCTTGCCTTTTTACTATGTAGTAGCTTCCCTTACTGAATCTCCTAAAGCTTCCAAAACTCTCATTGACTCCATACTAATGAATTATTTTAATTGCATATGATTAATCATTCAAATTCAAAGATTTAAAAATGGATCCAAAGGTTGTGGGTAAGAAAGATAAGATAGTGACAATTGAACGGGAGGATTTGCTTCGACTTCTATCAAATAGTTAGCTTACCACACCACATATTGAAATATTTATGATGTAAGTATGTATTTCTTTAATATAATTAACTTAATTATCGAGTTTAGTAAACTAATATGATTACATTATTATAGGTACCTCCATTGTTTGTGCATCACATCTGGCAATGATGATAAGTTCGGATTCCTTTGCCCACATCACATGATAGAAAAAAGGGAATACTCCAGAGTTAAGGGCTGTGTACCTCTAACAAAGGATATATGAAGTCAAGAATGATGTTTTTATGTCCCCATACATACACTCATAAGGATCAATTTGTAATTAATACTTTTTTTAATGTGGATTTATTTTAAATCATATCATATTTTGTAAGGAACACTAGTAGTTGTTTGTTCTTTCAATGAAAAATAACACTATCATCTTATGCTCCCTCCATTATAAACTTGGAAAGGAAATGAAGAAGACGATAGACTCATAAGTATATTTGTGCAAAACTATTCAATTTAACTTTTTCTAAATATATTAATTACTAACTTTGTGATCTTGATCATAGATCAATGAAAACATATCAAAATGTGATCTTGTAAAAGCACGGACATGAGTTTAAGGATCCTACATGGATCGAGCCAAAGATGATGCTATACTTTATGATCATGTT